TAGAAAAGCAAAATTTAAAAATTTTTTTTATCCACATGAAAATAAAATAATCAAGTGATTTCTTTATAAATAAAAATGCAGCTATTTGTTTTTTTAATAACACAGAGTATTCTTCCAGCTAGGAAGCAATGTAGTAATTTATCATGCCAAGGAGATAAAGTATGACTTTAAAAGTAGACTTAAATTCTAATCAACTTCCATATTACAGGTGTGATAGTAAAAGTTGCAGAAAAAGCAGTCCGTTTTCTGTAACAGTTTTTTAAAAATATGAAACTGGAATTACATGAATTTTTATATTTAATTTTCATGTTTGTTCTCAATGAAAAAAATTCAGGCAAATGTTGACCTGTTGTCCTTGAAATACTAGGATCAACTTTTATGCATTGAGTTTATAATGTCCAGTTTAGCTTCCATGGTAATAGTGTCAAGATAAATGCAAGAAGTATGAAAGAAGTTCACACTTTATCTTCACTGCTAGATTTACTATTATGTTTAGGAGGTATTTTTGAAGCACTAATTGTAATACTTTATAAAAATTTTAAGTAGCAAAAAATTCCACTACTCCAATGTTACTAATTCAACACCGCTTTGTGAGTGGCAATGGAAACTCATAATCTGCACAAAAACAAAAAATGACAATATGCAATAGAAATAAGTCCATACTGATTATGTATTAAAAATGTATTATATGTTACTGAACAAACACTGACTTCAATGCCACTCCCATAAGCAGCAAGAGACCTTAAGAATCCAAGGAAAATTTAAATTTTAGACATATGGTCATATTGTTCACACAGCAAGTCAGAAAGCTTAAGTTGAAAAGCACCTATATTTTAACTAATATTTAATTTGTTATTGAAATCTACAACAAGAGTTAAAATCTTCAAGTTTCAAAAGAAAGGGAGAAAAGCTATTTAATAAATTCTTTTAGCTAAAACAATTCAAACTTGTATCTATTCTTTATTCTATTTGAAAGATTCTCTTGCAATTAAAATTGTTACTTTAGTTTCTGGCTTATACTAAAATTGTCTCAAAATCTTATAAAATCAAAAACAAAGTGCAGAAAGAATTGTTATCATATCTGTTTTATCAACCGATATACTTTATTTGCACTTTGACCCAATTCACAATAAAATTGGTTTGTTTTGCTTCTTTCTTAACGAACAATAATGAGCATTTACATTACATAAAACTTCTATCACACAATTCACAACTGTGTATGAACAATGAACAACAAATATAACAGATTGAGCTAACAAGAGAATCAGATAATCTGGTTATCACAGACATATAGAATATTTCTAGATACTTGTAATGAACTTTGTCCTAAAACTTAATTGAATAATATATATTACATATGGTTTAGCTTTTCCACAAAATTAATAAAATCCAAATATCATTGAAGATTAACATCTGTTTTCAGTTAAATATTACAAATATAAGTTTTAATTGTTGCTTACAATTAAACTCAATGATGTTATATATAACAAAAAAATATGACAAAGTGATTTCACATGTAAAAAGTTTGCTATAAATATGGTTAAATTAATATAGTTTGAAGAATACAAGGAGAGCTATTTTATGTTTGATTACATTTTAGTTGTTTCTTTCATATTAACTGCAAAATGTTCAAAATGTTTGTGTTCATAAAGGATTACAAAAGTAAAACATAGAACTTAATATTTAAAAAGGTATTAGTGATGCTTTTATTAAATAGTTTTAATTTGTTAGAAAGCAGATGTTATCATTGACTTACATTTATTTTTAGTTAAGTAAAGACATCTGAGTAGTAAATCAAACAAGAAGAGAATTTTGAAAAAAACATCAATTTGCTTATTACTAAACAAAACCATGCATTACAGTATATATATATAATCAATTTAAATTAATTACTGTATTTAATTAAATTTTAAAACATTATTTTGAAATAAGTTTAAAAAATTAACTTTCTTAAGAATGAGATTATTTTTGGTTTTAATGTTTTTCAAAGATTATATACAAAAAATTTTTAATTTATTAGTTTACTGATAAAATTTGCCAATCAAATTTTTTATCTGCTATTACAACACACAATAGTAAAATTGCAGGTCTGATTGAGGCAGTTGGGACCAAATCAGAACTATAGATCATGCCCATAAGAGTAAAAAAAAAAAAGTTTCAAAGAAATCAATGGTTTATATGTGATCTTTCATAAGATATAATACCCCCTAAAATCAGCCTATCTGAAATTTTGAAGACCCTCAAAATGGAATAAAATTTAAAATGAAAAAATCTAAAACTATTTTGATAATCTGAAACTATAGTTATTCTTATTTGTTGCTTAAACATTATGTAGTGTGATTAATCGATCACACTACATGTGTTTAATTTAAGCAACAAAAAAAAGTCAAACTATTTCTCAAAACAATGATAAAAATCAACTATTTTCCACTTTATTGGAGACAGATAGAATCTCATAAGACACTAAAATGCCAATGTACCTACTACTACCAGGGTGCAATCAGAGTCACACTGCAAGCTCAATTGATCTAGTTATTGCATGTTTAACAAGCAGCCCAAACCTATCACTATATCTCTTGAAGAGCCACATGTATACCATAAGTTACTTTAACTTCTTTTACTCCTATGGACATGATCTACAGCTGTAATAAGGTCTCAACACTTCATTCAGAGCTGCACTTTTATCCACCCAAAACTAAATCAGTAATTCTCAAACTCTGAACCAAAGAGATGACTAGAGGTGCCAAATTATGATTAAAGTACATTTTAAAAATTATTTTTTAAAATGAATAAAGATGGCCAT